ATGAATAAATACAGAGGTCATTAGAGTGACTCTCTCTGTGACCCTGAAATACTGCAATCCCCCCGCCATGGCAGGTTCAAAACCAAAGGGCTTGACCTATGTAGAAAAGAAAATATATTTTCCTGTCCTTTAAAGTTCTTCAAGCCGGGCGTGGTGGCGTACACCTTTAATCCCAGCACTTGGGAAGCAGAAGCAGGCAGATCTTTGTGAGTTCAAGGCCAGCCTGGTCTACATAGTGAGTTCCAGGACAGCTGGGGCTACAGGAGACCCTGTCTCAAAAAGACAAAAAGAAGAAAAAAAGTTCTTCAATATGGTCTTTGATTGAATCATTCCTAGAGATTTTCAGATGGAGACTGAGTCTGTATATTTCAGAGTCCCCATGATTTTCATGACCGAGAGCTTTCCTGGATTATTGATGGCAATTATGACATAACTTGGTCATTTATAGACATCAGTTATTGAGCCTCTAAATGTAGCAGATCCTTTTTAGACATTTCTAATTCTCACAAAAGCTCTATCAGTTTCCTGTTTTACAGAAGAAAAACAGACTTGGAGAGAGTGAGTTAGACAAGGTCACACAGTACGCAGCATGTTCTCTGAAGTGCACCTTGCTCTTTGGAGTTATTGAGTGGTAATGCCTTGCCTTGAGCAGTTGAAAAGCTGTTATTTCAGCCTAAACGTGTTGAAACATTAGTACAGTTTTGGGTTTTAAAAATGAACTCCCCCCCCAAAAAAAAAGAATTTCCCTCATGGACAGCCTGCTTAAAATATCCATGTTAGGCTTTCTTGGGAGGCAAGGGTTGAACCTATCTTATTAAAGTGCAGAGCTTCCCTGTGTACAGGTGGAGTCTCAGGGAATCCTTTATGAAAGAGATACCAGCTTGGGCACTTGCCACTGAACCCCTCTGGGTCAACAGGGCCTGTCCTGTTCTCGCTTTGTGTTTTGGAAGAGGTGCTTCCACCAGGCGGGATGCTGTGTGCCTGCAGTATCAGCATGAGGGAAGCCAAGGCAAGCAAGGAGCAAGTTCAAGAACAGCCTGTGCTGTACATAGCATGGCTGTCCAAATGAAGGGCCTGGGGCTGGAAAGATGGCTCAGTGGTTAAGAGCACTGGCTGCTCTTATAAAGGACCCAGCTTTGGTTCACAGCACCCATATGGCAGCCAGCAACTGTCCATAACTTCAGTTCCTGGGGATCCAGTGCTCTCTTCTGATCTCTACATGCATGTACTTGGTGCACTTACATGCAGGCAAAACACTCATACACACATATTTATTTTTTATTTTAAAAAAAGTGCTCGGGGCTGGAGAGATGGTCCAGCAGTTAAGAACACTGGCTGTTCTTGTAGAAGACCCAGGTTTGAAGGCCTAGCACCCACATGGCAGCTAACAACTGTCTGTAACTCCAGTTCAGGGGATCCTACAGCCTCTTCTGTCCTCTGCAAACATTTCACAACATTTCAAACATTGCCTACATGCAGGCAATACATATGCATACACATAAAATAAAAAATAAAAATAAAAATAAATTAAAAAAAGAAGTGCTTAATATTTGTGATATTTTATTTTTTGTACTTAAGGAAATTACTGATAAATTGAATTATTACCTTGCTAATTCATAATGGTACAAAAATTATACTAATTGTTAGTTTTACTGTGGGTTTTTGTTTTTCCAGGAACCTGAAAACTTTGCATTATGGCTGAAAATGTTCTAGTTTCTGATGTAGTATTTATTTATTTTTGTGTTTTAGATAATAGAACATACCACTTTCAGGCAGAAGATGAGCAGGATTATGTAGCGTAAGTACTTTAGAAATAAAGTTGAAGAAGTAATCTTGTAACTATCCCTAGTGACTTGTCACACTTCTTTCCTGCCTCTGGGCCTTGACCCTTTGCTCTTCTCTCTGCCTGTGCTCTGTCCTGCTGCCTAGAATATGCTCCTAGAAGACTGAGCCCTAGCCTCAGCACTCCTGGGGCCTCAGCCCTCCTGGGGTCTTGGCTCCATCCTCTGCCTGCAGCTTCTTCACACCACTCTGTGGCCTCTGCTACATGACCATCCGCAGCCATATGGAGACCTGGAGCTTTTTGAGAGCAAGTACTGTCCTTCCTCATCCTGTACATGCCACCTGTACTTAGGAGAATCTTGCTCAGTATTTGGTCCTAAATGTGTGAGCTGTTTGGGATGGTCACAAATGCTGCATGGATGCTTGTTTTTGTGAGAGGAACAGGAGAGCCTAGCTCTAAAGGTAGAACACTTGTATCTTCTCCTAACTGGACAAGCATGGCACAGGTAAAGAGAACCTGGTGCAGTGGGAAGAGCCACATTGGGTATCACATAGTGCTGAACGGCAGTCCACAGCTAGTTCCATTCCACCTTCCCTCCTGTACCCTGCCTGGACTTCAGAAGACAGTTTGTTGCTTACATTCTCAGCAGCTTCCACTAATGGACAGGCAGTTCAGTCTGTTTCTTTTGCTTTGTTTTTTCATCTTCTTGAGTCAGGCTCTCCCTGTAGTCCCAGCTGGCCTGGAACTCACTATGTAGACCAGGTTGGCCTTGATCTCATAGAGATCAACCTGCCTCTGCCTCCGCCTCCGCCTCCACCTCCTGAGTGCTGAGTTTAAAGGCATGCATCATCATGCCCAGCTCTAGTGAACCCATGTGTGAGATGGTCAAATTTTTATCTCTCATTAGTAACTTGGACCAAGTTTTAGGTGGCCACCTAGGTTCTTGTCCTAAACTTCTTCTCTCTACTCCTATGAAGGATTATACTCTTCCCCTTTGCAGATAGACTGATAAAGGGATCAGAAAGCAAACAGTAAGTGGATGAAAAGTGGACTAGGGAGAAACAGTAAGGAAAGACGTTGGAGGGAGGAATAAGGAAAGGCAAGGTTGACGGTTCCATTCGTCCATTTGAATAGTTAATGAGCCGAGAATAAAGGGGAACACTGAATTAAAGAGAGCCCTTCCCACAGGACACAGGCATTGTGGCATGGCACTGGTTCTACGCTCAGGGACAGAGGAGACTGTGTACTGGGGCAACTCAGACTAGGCACACATCTTCTTGGATACTTGGGGGTACTGCTCAGATATGGCTTCCTACAAGGTGAGCATGGGCTGAGCTCCTGGAAGGTTCTGAGTGTTCTCTGCCTTCCCAGTGGAGGGGACTTGTGGGGTCGCTCCCTCTCCTCGTGGGTCATTGGCCACTGCTCCATGAGGACAAAGGGAGCAGAAGCGACAAGCGGGGTCAGGAGGGCCAGTGAGCAGTGACGGAAGAAAGCCCTTCTGGGGTGGCAGGTTCAGTGATGCAGACTCAGTGAAACAGCTCCAGACTCAGTGAAACAGCTCCATTTATTCAGTGGGAGAACTAGGGAAAATATAGTGTGGAGGCAGCAGCCAATGCCTCAGCTGATAGGTGCTCATAGTATGCTTTATTTACATGTGGCAGTGGGCACCTATCGTCCGACTACTGGGCAATGCCTAATTATCATATAGAAAAAACCTGGGGGTAGTTTTTACTCCAGGTAACTGTGCCAGAGGTCATGTTCCAAATAAGGTCAGGCATCCACGCTTGGCAGCATTTTCCAGGTAAGTCAGGAAGAGAGCAGGAGGCCCCCTGCTGAGAAGGGGAGTCCTTCCATATGGTGCCGAGCCCCTTAGAGCTATCTGGACGTGGAGGACTACAACCCTAACAGCAGGGTTCCCCAACAGGGACTGATGGCAATATTGTAGTTCACAGTTGGTCAGTTGTAGAGTAGCTGGGAGCCCAATGAGAAGGAGACGTCAGGAAAGCTGTCCTCTCAAGTCAGAGAGGGGAGATACTGAGATCATACTGTGCTGAGTGTACCTTGTGTCTTGCTGAACCTCACAATCCGAGGGAGGTACAGTGCCTGTGATCATAGGCCCATGACGTGAGAGTTTTAACCCAGCCAGAATCCCAAAACTACCTTGGAATGTTGCTTCCTCTTTCCCTCAAAACCCTAAGTGGAGGACAGAGGAGAAACTTGTGCAAAACTTTGTTCCCTCCTGTCTCAGACACAACCTTCCATCTCTTACTTGGTCTTAGAGCATATAGGTAGCTCAGCTCCATTTTGTTAGATACTGGTTTCCTGCCTGTGGGATGTGGCAGTCTTAGTAAAAGACTTGGTTGAGCCATCCTGAAATTGTTGGACATTTTGTGCTTTCACTCTTTGGGTGCTGGTGGGGAAAAGACTTTTTTTCTTTTTTGAGTGATGCAGGAGGGTATGGCTGTGCAGAAGCACAGCACATATCCCGGGGGATCTCTGCTTCACACACCACTGAGTTTGCAAGCGGCGGCTTCACCGTATCGCTGAGTTCCTTTCCTCTGACTCTGTCCTGACTGCAGAAGGGGCAGGAGCAGCAGGTGCACTTTTGAAGCCTGGCAGCCTGGACTGTAGTCTCAGCTCTGCTGTGTAGTAGTGCTTTGGTTACTCCTGCAGATTGTCTGGCTCAGTCTTCTCATCTGGAGGCAGTTGAGTAGATGTGGATTTACATATCTCACTTGAAAGACTGAGCATGAGAATAAAGTGTGTAAATCTCCTAGCACAACAGCAGTTTAATTTCTAGTTTGTAAAACTCAGGGTGACTTGTGAAGTGTGAAAATAGTTATGCAATCTATCATTTCGTATACATTTTAGTATGCTTATTACTTTAAAAGAATTTAAAAGTAAATATATACATACATACACATACGCATACATACACACACATATATATGTATGTATGTATGTATGTATGTATGTATATCCTGGGCTGGGGTCATGACCTGGCTGTAGCTGAGTTGTCAGAGTGCTTGCCTAGCATTCACAAAGCCCTGAGTAGCATAAACCAAGCATGGTGGTGCATACCTGTAATCCCAGCACTTGGGAGGTGGAAGCGAGAAGATCAGAAGTTCAAGGCCATCCTTATCTACCTACTGAGTATGAGATCAGCCTAGGATGGAATGCATGAGACCCTATTTTTATTTTATTTTTTTTTTCAGGTCTTTTTGAGACAGCTTCTCCCTGTAGCCCCAGCTGTCCTGGAACTCACTATGTAGACCAGGCTGGTCTTGAACTCACAGAGATCTGTCTGCCTCTGCCTCCTGAATGCTGGGATTAAAGGCGTGCGCCACCACACCCGGCTGACCCTATTTTTTTTTTTAATTTTTTTTTCATGAATAGTCACTTTGATTCTTGTTCCTTTTGAAATGTAGCTGTTCCATTCTATTTTACCAAATTCAAGTCAACTTCCTATAAAAATAGTCTTTAAATGCACATTTTCTGGTTATCATGACAAACTTGTATTAATCATGAGCCCATGGTAAAGAAGTGTGTGTTACTAGGGAGAAGACTCTGCAAATGCAGATTTTCTTAGTTTGCCCAGTCCAGAATAGGACCATGAGCACCTCATAGAAATTTTCTGGCTTCCTCATCTTGAGTTACTTTAACCCAAAACATAGAGGCTTCTGTTTCAAAACTTTTGAGTAGCAGGCATGCACTGGGTAGCTTTAGTGTCAACTTGACACACCTGGGTTGAAGGAGCCTCAATTGGGGAATTTCCTCTCTTGGACTGGCCTGTGGCCATGTCTGAGGGGCATCTTCTTGATGAGTGATGTGGGTGGTGCCACCCCGGGGAGGGTGGGTCTGTGTTGAAAAAAAAAGCGGGTTGAGCGGGGGCCAGGGGAGCAAGCCAGTAAGCAGCGTTCCTCCATGGCCTGTGCTCCAGCTCCTGCTTCCAGGTTCCTGCCCTGAGTTCCTACCTTGGGCGCCCTGATGAACTGTGACCTGGGAGATGTAAGACAAATAAACTCTTTCCTCCCTGAGTTGGTAGTGGTCAGAGTGTTTTGTCACAGCAATGGAGAACAAACTAGGACAAGGCACATAGGAGGGACTGGTCTGTATTAGGTAGTCAGGTGGCATGGCACCTAAAGAAAGCAAAGCAGAGACTGCAGTCAGAGTGGAGGAACCCTGAGGGCCTCAGTGAGTGCTGTAATCAGTCCTGTTGAAACCAGTTTCTTGAGTTGTTGTTGTTGTTTGATTTTGTGTTTTTAGATAGGCACTCTGTAGTCCCAGCTGGCCTGGAACTCACTGTGTTGACCAGGCTGGCCTCGATCTCATAGAGATCTTCCTGGCACTTCCTCCCAAGATCTGGGATTAAAGGTGTGCCCCACCACCCCAAAGCTCTTGAATTGTTCTTAATAAAGAAACCTCTAGTTTCTAATTAGACTAATAAAACAAATACTATATAATTTAAGGTGGGTCAGATGTCACTCCTAGACTTGACTCTGGAATTGGTCCGTTTCTGCATCATAGTAGAAAAGAAAAGCTGGGGAGGTAGTTCCCAAAAGGAACTGAATGTGAGCACCACCTGGAGTCAAACTCGTGACTTGCATGCACACAACCTAAGCCACAGCCTGGGGCTTTTAAGTCTCACGCTGTCCTGTTGCTAGCACATACTCCACATGTTTTGTAGATTCCTCTGTGCTCCATTTCACCCTACCGTATACCAAATACTGTGCAATTCTGAATGTCTGCAAGGGAGAGCAGACAGTAGCTGTTCATGCTCCAGACCTAAAAAGCAGTAACTTGTCAGTGTTTTTCTTTGCTTTTTGAAAAGTAAATTTGAGGCTTTTTTCCTCATTCATGGAAGTAATACAAACTTATTTTATATTTTGAAAATTAGAGATGGTTTCATAGTCATGCGCCTCTCCGATCAGTTTTTCCATAAAGAAAAACCACTCAGAAACAAGCAATATTAACATTTTGGTGAACTTATATTTGTCCTTTTCCCCCCACACATTGTATAATTTATACGTACTTAAGTTTGAGATAATATCATATGTAGCATTGTAAGAATTTCTCCAGTGTCACCAAAAAGTTATTTGATGGGACCTGCTAAATGGCTCAGTGGGTAAAAGACCCACCACTAAGCCTGGCGACCTGAGTTCAATCCCTGTGACCTACATGCTAGAAAGAAAGAACTGACTTTTCAGAGTTGTCCTCTGACCCCCACGCACATCAACACAAAATACATAAATAAAAACGTAATTAAAAGAGCCAGGCATGGTAGCACATGCCTTTAATCCCAGCACTCAGGAGGAGGCAGAGGCTGGTGGAGATTTTGAGTTTCAGGCCAGCCAATGCTACAAAGTGAGACCCTTGTCTCAAAAGAATAAAACAGAAAACCAAACAAAAGTAATAAATTATTTGAAAATCTGTACATTTGATGCTGGCTGAACTGTTCTTTGCAGTTATTTTTATTCTTTCTTTATCAGCACCCTGTTGTCTCACACATAGCTTAGTAACAAAGGTTTTTGTTTAGTGCATGTGATGGCCTGTTTATCAAATGAGCTCCTGTGTCACTTTCCTCATCACTGTGGCAGAATTCCTGATGGAAGTAATATGGAAGTTTGCCTTACCTCACAGTTCAGAGGGAACAGTCCACCACCGAGGCAAAGGCTCGGTGACTGGAGAAGTTTTGTCTGTCATAGAAGGAACTTGCTATGTGGCTCATTACATCTCACAAGTCAGGAAACAGAACTCCAGCCAAAACTCAAAAGTGGTTATCACCTTCAAGGCCTGACACCAAAGACCCAAATCTGGTGTCCAGGCCTCATGTCCCAAAGCTTCCACAACCTCCCAGATCAGCACCATCTGGGAGCAAGTGTTCGATCACATGAGCCTGTGCAGGACATTTCAGATTTAACTTGTAACAGCTGCAGTCTTCATTTGCTATTGTAAATGCCATGCTTTGAAGCCACTGTGCCCCTTTCCTAAGTGTAAACCTTACAGCTGCTGTTAAAGCATCCATTCACTTTCCCTTGTAAATGTCTTTCCTGACTTGACTGGGGGAAAGCAGATACCGAATGCGGAGCCACCCCGGCTTGTCTTTATCATCCTCATAGAGCTTGTCCTCCTGAGTCCTCCCTTTATTCTGTCCCTCAGAGGCACAAGCACCTGTGCATTCATGCAGGTCCTCCGCTGCACTGGCTCTTTTCCAGCCCTCTCACCTTTCCTACATGTTCTTTTCCATTCTTCTGTTTGTGGTTTTTGCAGTGCTAAGAATTGAACCCAGGGCCTCACACATGCTAAGTATAGCACCAACCTCATTCTTTAACCCTCTCTTAAACTTTTTTCATTTTTCTTCATTTTGTTGCTGTTTGTGAAGAAGAAATTCTCTTTTGAAAGTTCTTGTTGGAAGTAGGTTTTTTTTTTTCCAGTAGAGAAAGAAAACATGACCAGGCTGGCTTCTCTGGTATCTTGACCACAGGTGGATATCAGTATTGACGAACAGCAAAGAAGAGGCCCTAACCATGGCCTTCCGTGGGGAGCAAAGCACGGGAGAGAACAGCTTGGAAGATCTGACAAAAGCCATCATCGAGGATATCCAGCGGCTCCCTGGGAACGACATCTGCTGTGACTGTGGCTCATCGGGTGTGTGCTTTGTGCTCAGACCAGCTTGCTCAGTGTCCTCTCTATAGCATCTCCAGTGACCTGGTTCCTTCAAAATCTTGCCTCTTCTGGGCACACTTAGGCATAGGCACAGCATGGGTTCCCAGCATGAATATTCTGACCTCAGGCTGTGCTTCCCTGCTGTTTTCCCTGCCTGAAAAGCTCCAGACCTGACCTCAGAGATGGGCACCAGCCACTGTGTTCCTTTCCCTGAGTGTGGGCCTTGAGCATTATGGGGCAAGGACAGAGCGTTGAGTTCATGTTTGACTCATAAGTCTGCCACTGTAGGCCTGGACAGTCTGAGGCTGAGATATTTGCAGTTCCCATTTACAGCTTGTCCTAAAACAATGGGGAAAAGACCTCCTGCTGTAAGTACCTGATAAAATAGCGTTTATGGAATCGTCTGGCATGGGTTATGTTTTTTCTCCTTCCTGCTCAGTGAAACCCTCTCCAGTTGCTGTACCAGAGAGGTATCTCTGTCCCTCTGGCCTCTGTTTTTGGATAGCAAGGCACTGGCAATAGCACTTAGCACATGTGTCCACTGTACTAAGGATTGTGCTAAGTGTTTTGCTGATACTGAATCCTCACAGAATGTTGTACGATACTAGTGTCTTCATCCTACAACTGAGGCTCCAGGTGGTTAAGTATTGTTTGCTTACAATCTGAGGATTGAACCCACGTTTTGTGCATGTTAAGCAGGACTAGCACTGAGCTATAGCCCAAGTCCAAACCTGGTGGTCTTAAGCATTATGATGTGTTGTTTAATTGCTGCACAGGTTTAAGCAGCTCAGAGAGGAATTTCAGATTGCCGTTTTCAGGTGTGTGATAACAATCCACACAGCATGGAGGGTAGTAGCACTCATACTTACAGAACCCTGAAATTTTTAGTGACCTAGAGATAATTGTTCTTAGAAACAAGGCCTGGTGGCACAAACCTAAAATCACAGCACCTGAGAAGTGGAGGCAGGAGGATCAGGAGTTCAAAGTCATCCTGCATAGCAAGTTTGAGGCCGGCCTGGGCTACACAAGACCCTGTCTGACCAAACAATACCCCCCCCTTCTCCCAAAAAAGCCATTCTTTTGAAGCCCTTGGAGGTTGTAAGGAAAAAGCCTTAGGGCACTGACGGGACTGTTAGTGGACATTATCACTGCTGCCTTAGTACCCCAAAAAGCTTTTGGAGAAGCCATCCATAGCCAGCAACTTGTAACCTGAAAGTTGGTGATACCTGCAGAACCCAGTCCTGTTGAGAGCCTAACAGGCCTCCAGCTGCAGCCCTGAGAGACTGTGGCAAGAAGGGTGTGCCATAGGCTGGCTAAGTTGAGAAGTCTTAAGCAGATTTGTAAAGGATAAAGGACTTGATTTTGATTTTTAATTCAGTACTGATGAGACACTAGTAGCTCCAGGCTAAAGTACCATGCACCCATTTCCTCAGTGAACTCTTCGTTGTGCTAACTCTACATGTTTACCACTGTTTTCATTTCCTTTATAGTTAACACACTAATGAGATAACCTTGTTTCCAAACATCTTTTTCCACAGAACCCACATGGCTCTCAACCAACTTGGGTATTTTGACCTGTATAGAATGTTCCGGAATCCATAGGGAGATGGGGGTTCATATTTCTCGCATTCAGTCTTTGGAGCTAGACAAATTAGGAACTTCTGAACTCTTGGTAAGTCCTGACCTGAATTTTGAAAGTAAAGTTTATTGTTCCAAATATATTTAACACTACTCTTAAGATTCATTTTTTTTGTGGTTTTTTTGTTTCTGATTACAAAGAATTATTACTAAACAGTGGATTTGCATAAATTTTTATAATTAACTTTGATGATATGTTATGGTACTTCTGTTTCCTCTTTAAAGGGAAGTAGTAGCTCATGTTGAAACTGGCTCTCCTTTCTGGGGAAGGGCTTCTTCAAAGTTTTTTTCATTCTTTTTATACAGTTCACTACAATGGCAATTAAAGTACGTGTTCAAATTGCCTAGAGCTGATATTAAAACTAATGACTGCAAAGTTTCCCAATTCAGTTGATATTTCTTGCATATCTGGAGAAGTACACATGAATTGGAAATGACCTGCTAACTAGGGTCACAAAGCCAGTTACTCCTTGGCCTATACCTTCTGTAGTTAGTAAGGAATGAACTGCTTGAAGTTGGGGTACAGAGCTTTATAATTTGAAAATTATAAAGGGCATGAATGCCTAAACTTGTTTCTCCTTGATCATCCCTTCCCACCAAGTTTGGAACTCTGTCAGGTCCAAGTTCAGTTGGTCCCTGTGATACACTGAAAACAGTAATGAAAGGCCCATTGGCTTCCCCTGGTGCTTACAGCCAGGATCCTTGTCTTGCATAATTCAACCCTCGTGCATTGTGAGAGCATTTGCACTGAGAATGAGTGTGTTTAAATGAAATTGATCTCCGCAGATAAAAGGATCTTCCTTGAGCAGAACATGAGTGACTAGAGCTCCGGAAAGCAGGAAACTCAGTCATCTCTAGCCTCATCTGCACAAAAGCACCAAAAAGACAGGGCACTTGGTCCCTCAGCTGTAGTCCTGGCCTCTGAGCAGCTCTATGTGAGAATCTCCCTGGTGGTGAATGAGCCCTTTCACTTAGAACATAAGAAGTTCCACTGCCTCTTTGACTTCGGGCTTACAGAGAAAAGGTTTAGAACTAAGAGGCCCTGGAACACAGCTCTCCTTTAGTACAGAAATGGTGTCAAGCCAGGTCCTTGACTTGTAAATATGAAATCCACTTTTGATGCCTAGAAATGAGAAAGTCCAAGTACTAAACACTTGGTCTGCAATAAATTTAAGATTTTTCTACCAAAACCCTGTCTGTATGGATGTTTCTTGAACTTCACATGGATCTCAAAATTACGCAAATGGCCAAAGGCTCTTCAGGATTGATTTTCTTGGAAGGAACCTCAGCCCAGAAGCAAACTGTTTTGTGGGTCCTTCTGGTGCTTCCCACAGCATCCTGATCTGAAATCAAGTAGAAAGCAGTCCTAATTTCTTTTCTGCCCACTAGAACTTAATTGATTTATTTTTTTAAATGTATATTACTATGCTTGAAAACTGATCACTGCTCATTGCCAGGCATGGTGGTACATGCCTTTAATCCCAGCACTTGGGAGGCAGAGTCAGGTGAATCTCTGTGAGTTCCAGGCCAGCTGAGACTGCTGTACAGAACCCAAGCCCCACCCCCACCCCCCCAACCCCCATGTCTAACCTCAGAGTTTGTGTGTGCATAGGCAGCTCCCTCACGTACTCATCACATATTTGTAGACATTACTGATTAAGATTCTGAACACCTCTGGGAAAGGAGCATGGTTTACTCATTTATTCAACTCAAAGTTTAGTGCCTGGCTTGTAATAGGTGCTCAGTAAATTTTTGTTGACCAGATAGTGGAAGGTTTATACTCTGAGTCAAATGAAGGGAAAATACATACACAAAAAAAACTCAAAAGCAAATAAATAGGAAACTTTTAACTAGTAGTATAGAGCTTATTATATTTTGGATTTTTTTTTATGTTACAGCTGGCCAAGAATGTAGGAAACAATAGTTTTAATGATATTATGGAAGCAAATTTACCCAGTCCCTCACCAAAGCCCACTCCATCGAGTGATATGTAAGTATTTCTAACATATTGCCTACTTCTCCATTATCCATACTATAGGCGTATACACGTAGGAAGAAATTTTGAAATGTGGTGCTAGGATACAAGACTATGTTTTTGTTGTTTTTTTTCTTTGGTCTTTTTGAGACAGGGTCTCCCTGTAGCCCCAGCTGTCCTGGATTCACTATGGAGACCAGGCTGGCCTCAAACTCACAGAGATCTGCCTGCCTCTGCCTCTCGAGTGCTGTGATTGAAGGTGTGCGCCACCATGCCCGGCCTAAAGACTGTTTTTACCAGCACCTTTCCCTAGGTGGTTGCTGCTGAGCACTTGCTCTGTGGAGCATAGATCTTCACAGGGACAGTTATCTCTGAGTCATGGTATGTTGTGGGAAAGTAGACATACAAAGCAATGGGACAGTTCTATCAGATTAGCAAAAATGCAAATGCCAAACCCATTCAGCAAGTCTGTGGGGAAACAGACATTCTGTCTCATGTTTTCAGTGGAAAGACAGAATGGCAGAGTGTAAAAATCACAGTAGCCAAAATTTACCAAAATTATAATCCATTAACTCTGGACTCAACTATCCCGCTTCTAAAAATGTGTTCCTATTCTGTGATAGGAAAGTACTGGAAACATAGAGATTATGGTACTAGCAGATAGTGAAACTGTCTGCAGATGTGAAAAAGGACACAGCCTTGAATGTTCTGCTCTGAAGTGATTTCTAAGTTGTTGTTAAACTTTGAAAAATAAAGCACAGTGCAAAGGAAGGCTGCCTTCTGGGAAAGAGGAACTGGGAAATGGAGAACGTGCTTGGACCCCTCTGGCTCTAGACCCTTGTCGAACTTAAAAACTGAACTTTGGCTAAATTTGTTGATAAATCCCTTTCTCTTACTAATCATTACCTAGAGTCAGAAACCAAGCAAATTTGTGTAAACAGTCTTGTAAAGCTGTGGCAAAATATCTCATATATGCAACTCAAAGGAAGATTTCAGAGTTCCCGTCCATAGTCACCTGGCACCATTGCTGTAGGTGATAAGATATAACAGCAGGAGGCAGGAGCTGGTAAGGAAAGCTGCTTATCTTATAGCAACCAGAAAGCAGAGAGAGCAGGAAGTGGCCAAGGGCAAGGTATCCTTCAAAGACACCCCCATAATCCACTACTTCTACCCAGTCCCTACCTTATAATTGTCATTCAACCATGAGCCCATCAGTATGTCTATCCATCAACGGGATCAGCACCTCATGATCCAGTCACTTTACCATCCACTGCACTGCCAGCTAGAGACCAAGCCTTCAACACTTGGGGTGGGGGCGGGGTTCATATCCAAACTGTGACAACCTATGTTTGTTTGAACTTGTGTTTGCTCAAAGAAATTGAAAGAACACGGGAAACCAAAAAGGTACATAGTTTGTCATAGGCACAGGCATTAGACTTCTTAATAAACAGTTTTTGATACCACTTTCTTATTTTTGAGTCATGTAAATCAATTTATTCTAAAAACTTTTTTTTTTGTCCTTTTGAGACAGGGTCTCCCTGTAGCCCCAGCTGTCCTGGAACTCACTATGTAGACCAGGCTGGCCTTGAACTCACAGAGTTCCTCCACTTTCCTCTGCCTCCCGAATTCTGGGACTAACAGCATGCACCACTACACCCAGCTAGTCTAAAAATTTTAACTGAATTTATAGTTGAATTCAGGGGCACAGCAGGACTGGGGCCATAGCTCAGTGGTAGTGTTTGTTTTAGCAAAAGGCCGTGGGTTCAGTCTTCAGTACTGAAAAAAATTTTTTGAGTAGGGCTCTAGAGATTGAACCCAGAGCCTTCTACATGCTAAAGACACTCTACCTCAGCCCCTACAACTGAAAATTTCAGGTACTAGGGACAAATAGAAGGAACGAGTTCAATTCTAATTCATGTGGTTGGGGAAGGCTTTGGAAGGTAGGAAAGCTGTGAAGTAGGCACCAGCCTAAAAGTTTGGCCAGCCCGTCCATGGGTACCAAATTCAAACCTGTACTGAAATTACAGGGCACATTAAGTCTGAAATCATTTAATAAAGTCTACCAGAAGGCTTCTTGGGAGTGATCTTTTCTTGAGTTCTGCTTATGATTCCTGTGATCTCCTTCTGTGCTAAGAAAACAGCAAAACAAACTATATGCAAACCCTGCCCTCCAGCTGCCTCAGTTCCAGTAGGGAAAGTAGACATTGCCCCAGAAGTCAGACGGGTAGTTCCGAATCACGGTTGTTGGAAGAGAAAACATCTAGGACACATGGAAGTGGATGGCACTCTGTGGAGTAACCAGGCTGTCTTGCCTGGCAGTGCTGTTCAAGTATTGTCCTACCACAAAAACCTCTCCATGTCTCTTCCATATTTATAAGCACAAATTACACTAGGAAATTTCATTTCCTAAATGTTAAAGCTACTGTGAACAGAAAAGGTCTAAAGTTACTTCACAACCGAATGGTAGTACGTGCTGGGGCACATGGCCAGTGTGGTCTTGCGCAGCAGGTGTGTTTAAATGCCTGCATGACCCAGACTTTGAAGATACTGATTTAAGGTAGAGTTCAGAGCCAGACCGTTGGAGTTCAGACCCCAGCCCTGCTGCGTCCTTAACTGTGTGACCTTAGGCATGTAACTTCACCTGTCAGGGCATCAGCTCATTATCTAAAAAGAAAAAAAATGTATCTACCTCCTAGAGTTGTGGTGAGCATTAAGGCTTAACTCAAAAAGTGCTATTGGGTATTTGGGTACGTGTTTGTACTCTTTTATATGACCAGAGACCCAGAGGAATAAAGTGAACCTCCTATAACACATGGATCAATTCAGCAAACTATGGGGATGGAGAGGCAGTATCTCACTACGTTGATCAAACTCAGGTTCAAGCAGGCCTCCCTCAGCTCCCAAGTACCTGGAACTATATAGGTCTGCACTGCTGTGCCCAGTACATTTGGTAGTTCTTACTGAGAAGCTGTGCTCTGGGCCTTATTTTAGGTACCCAAGAAGACATTCTGCTCAGAGTGTGGAAAACAGAAAATTTTAAAAATAGAAATTATATCTAAAAAATAAAATACTAGTGAGCATTTTAATTAGATGGATTAAATCTAAAAGGTCCAAAGGGTGAGCCTAGGGCACATCAGGCCAATAGCTGGAACAGTAGCTATGGATGCCCTGGGGTAAGATGGACTTGGCAGTTTCTGGACATACCAAGGATGCAGATAAAACTGGAGAGAGCTGAACGGAAGCACCATGCACAGTTGAAGCACAGCCAGGTCACTCAGGGTTCTGCAGGTTGCACTGTTTTGTTTTTAATTCTTTCGACAATTCCGCATATGTATGTAATCAGCTTTAGCCATTTTCACCCACCCACATTACCCTCTCATCCCCCTCCCCCTTTGTGTGTGTCTGTCTGTCCCACTGAGGTTAATTAGTCTACTTATATGAGCATGGGTGGGAGGTCACTGGATGAAGTATAGGCAGTTTTTTTCTTGGTTTTGTTGCAGTTATGAAGCACAAGTCTGACATGGTGATCTAAGCTCTATTATCAAAGGATTATTTTATCTCCCTAGTTTCTCAGCTAGGGTTCACTTTTTGCCTTTCCCTACTCCCTCCAGAGGATTCCTGGCAATATCTGGAAACAGTCTGTGGTCTCATTTTGGGCAAGGTGCCACTGATGAAGGCCGGGGGTGCTGTGATGCATGCTACAGTGTATGGGAAAGATCGCCACTGGTATCCACGGTGCTGAGGGTGTGAACACAGGCTGTCCAGGGGCAGATGCAAGCAGAGCCTGAGGAGAAGCTGGGTCAGGTCCACTGAGAAATGAAGGCAGATCATACAAGATGGTAGCAGCAGAGGTGAAGTGAATGAATTCTCGGTACACTTAGAAGGTACAGCTAACAGGATTTGCTAGTCAAGTTGATGTAGGATGGGACTGGAGAGCTGGCTCAGCAGTCGAGAGCACTAGCTATTCTTGCAGAGGACCCAGGTTCAATACCAGCACCCACATGGTGGCTAGCAACCGTCTGTAATTCCAGTTCCAGGGGATCTAATGCCTTCTTCTGACTTCCACAGGCATTGCACAACATGGGTGCACTTACATACATGAAGGCATGCAGACAATACACTCATACACATAAAAATGATAAAATATTTTTAATTAATATGGGATGATTAAGGGTATTGTTAAGGTGCCTGTCTTAGTTTGTTCTTCATTGCTGTGACAAAACACTCTGACCAGTACCAACTTGGGGAGGAAAGGGTTTATTTGTCTTACATCTCCCAGGTCGCACGCAGTTCATCAGGGAGCCCAAGGTAGGAACTCAGGGCAGGAACCTGGAGGCAGGAGCTGGAGCACAGGCCATGGAGGAACGCTGCTTACAGGCTTGCTCCCTCGGCTCCTGCTCAGCCTGCTTTCTTATGCAACACAGGCCCACCTGCCCAGGGGTGGCACCACCCACAGTGAGCTGGGCCCTCCCACATCACTCATCAAGAAGATGCCCTTCAGACATGGCCACAGGCCAGTCCAATAGAGGCAATTCCCCGATTGAGGCTCCCTCAACCCAGGTGTGTCAAGTTGACACTAAAGCTATCCAGCATCTGAGTATTTGGACAGTGCCTGTAACTGAAATAGGATGGATGAAGAGGGCCAGGTTTGAGGGGACTGGGTAAGAACCTTGTCTTTTAGGCAGTCTACTCCCTCCATGGCTGTCATTAGAGGGGATTGTGAACTGAGTGCCTGGAAAACATTGAGCATATTGTGTCTAGTGAGAGCTTACACATTTCCCATGACTACGGGATTAGACATCCAAGGGTGGAGGAGATCTTTAAGGTGACCCAGGTAGTGTATGGTAACCAAGTACCCTCGGTATCATAATCTACCAATTAACTGCTTCTATCCACATGTGACTCCCAGTGCCAGGACATGCCCTACAGACTTTGCTGAAGCTTAGCTTAAGGAACTAAAGATCTGCCTCCCACAGCTTTCTACCGCTGACCCTACCTCTCATCTCCTGGCTAACAGTAGAGAGAAGCTTTCAAATGAACACTGGACTCATGCATCACCCTGTTCCCACATATATACTTTTTGTTTTGTTTTTTTAATTATTTTTATTCTTATTTTTTATGTATGAGTGTTGCCTGCATGTGTATAAATGCACCCATGCCGTGCAATGCCAGCAGAGGTCAAAAGGTGACAGATGCCCTGGAACTGGAATTACAGGTGGTGGTAAGCTGCCATGTAGGTGCTGGGAATCAAACGGTCCTCTGGAAGAGCAGCCAGCGCTCTTAACCACTGAGCCATCCCCAGCCTCACTTTTGTTTTGTTTTCCTTTTTTATTGAATTTTTGCAAATTTCATAAATATATTTTGATTGTATTTAGATTCCCTCCCCTGTCTTGCAACCCTCTGCCCAATTTCATGTACTCTATTTTATATATAACAACCTATGGAGTCAGATTTGTGTCCACAAATGTCCTTTGGTATGGATCCATCCACTGGAGCCTGTAAACCTACCAGGAGGTCACACCCTTGGAAAGAGACTGTCTTCTTCCCAGCAGCCATTGGTTTCTAGTAGTCCCTCAGTGTGGGGTCGCTCCCTCTCCTCGTGGGTCGTTGGCCACCGCTCCACGAGGACAAAGGGCACAGAAGCAACAAGCGGGGTTAGGAGGGCCAGTGAGCACTGACGGAAGAAAGCCCTTCCGGGGAGTCAGGTTCAGTGATGCAAACAGCTCCAGACTCAGTGAAACAGCTCCAGATTCAGTGAAACAGCTCCATTTATTCAGTGGGAGAACTAGGAAAAATATAGTGTGGAGGCAGCAGCCAATGCCTCAGCTGATAGGTGCTCATAGTATGCTTTATTTACATGTGACTACCTGGAGGCAGTAGCAAAAGCCTCAGTTGATAGGTGCTCATAGTATGCTTTATTTACATGTGGCAGTGGGCTCCTGTCTTCCAGACTATCAGGCAATGCCTGATTATCATATAGAAAAAACCTGGGGGTAGTTTTTACTCCAGGTAACTATGCCAGAGGTCATGTTCCAAATAAGGTCAGGCATCCGTGCTTGCACTTTCCAGGTAAGTCAGGAAGAGAGCAGGAGGCCCCCTGCTGAGAAGGGGAGCCCCTTAGAGCTATCTGGACATGGAGGACTACAACCCTAACAGCAGGGTTCCCCAACACCTCAGAGAGGGTTGGGGTTTCTTAGCCACTTCCCCATGGGTATGCTGGGATTTTGTCTGGCTTGAGCTTACATGGAACTTGTGTATGCTGTCACCATTACTATGAATTCATATGTGTAACTTCCCAGCTATCTGGAAAGTTCTATTTCCTTATGGTCATCCACCACCTCTTACAGTCTTTGTACCCCCTCTTCCACAATGAATCCTGAGCCTCTAGTGGCAGAAGTTTAATACAGGTGTCCTATTCAAGGGTAATCACTCTGCAGTCTCTTATTCTCTGCATGGTAGCCTTTGTGGGTTTCTGTGTTAATCACCATCTTGCATAAGAAAACGTCTGTGCATTACTAAGTCATTAGGAATCACTTTAAATACTGTATCTGTTTAGCAGAATAATAGTCTCTCCCCTGGGCCCTGGGCCCTGTCTAGTTATAGATACTCTTGATTTCCTAGAAGGTGTAAGGAAGGTCTGGCCACTAGTACTTTACAGGTAAACTTTAGCCTAGATAGCAAGTAGTATCACACTACAGTCATGCAATCCAGGCATAATTGTGATGCTCTTCAGTACCATTTTCCTTTATATAAGTCAGTGTAGCAGGAGACACAGAAGCCACCTATAGGCTGTTCTTTCAGTTGTCTGGAGTCTTCTAACACATCAGGTACAGCCATCCCTAAGGTTCTTTGACCTAAGCACAAAAGACATTCTTGAGTGTAAATCTTGGTTACTTGACAGAAATAGCAAGTCATACACAAGGTCAAAGAGACACCAAAAGCTGTCATCATAACCCCATGAAACTTACTGCCAACCCAGATTGAAAGAAAAAGACGTCAGCACAGCTTTATCCTGGCTGGCTGTTAGAACAGCTTTAACCAGTGCTGGCTGTGGAACATGCGAGGTGGCAGCAGCTCCCTCATGGCTATTTCTAAGGAAAAGGTTGTATGTGCTTTGCATTAGCGCCCACTCAGAAAGCACTTGCAAGGTCCTGTACATTGTTTGATTGAAAATACACCAGTTAGGGACTGAAGGGATGGCTCAGTGTAAGAGCATTTACTGCTCTTGGAATTCCCATTATCCACATGGAGTAGCCAACAACCTGTAACTGCAGTTCCAGGTGGTCTGGTCTCTGTAGGCAGCTGTGCTCACATCATATCCCTAAACTCACGCAAGTGCACACACATACACATTGAAAAATAAGTCTTTAAAAAAACAGGCCAGTGAGTAGCTCTCTTCCATTTTCAGATGACTAAACACTGGAGCTCATGATGACTAAATACCTTTCTGAAGGTCACCATCTGATAATGCTGCAGAAGGACATTTTGAACCCAGACTCTATTAATCTTTTTTTTGAATTGGCTTATGTAAGTGGGACACTCAAGGGGTGGGTTTAGGTACAGAGAGATCTGGGATGTCGGTGGCACCTGGACCTCATTCTCTCTCCCTAGTTCATTTCCTCTGTGCTGACTTCCATTTCAGTCTTCCCTAAAGGTGACCACTGGGTTCTCTTCTCGTCTTTGTGACTGGGCGGTGGGCTCAGTTGTACAGGAGTGCTTGAGCTGAGATGGAGAGGGCGATCCCACCACCCCACCCCACCCCCACAAAAAGGGAGGACTATCACATAGGCACTCAGACTTGAGGCATGGCGTCCCCAGCTCCCTGCTCCTGGCTGGAGCCTCTGCAGGGAAGGCAGCTCATCCTCATCCTGTGGCTCTCTTTTCTATCCTTCGGGGTTGCTTTAGTAGCAGCTTTCCTGCACCTCATTTCTCCCACTTGTAAGATGGGTGGGTTGGATCAGAAAACTAAAATCCTTTCCACGGAGTACTGAAAACTTAATTTGTCTCACAGGATTTTTTTAAAAACTTTGAAGATGTTTTAATGTCTTTATGTTCTTCATGTACGTCTTAGTTTGAAGTAGTAATAGCACATTTCCTTTGGGTTGGGTTTCTGGGGGTGTTAGTGTTGTTTTGTTTGAGTTGTTTTTTTGGGTTTTTTTGTTGTTTTGGTTTGGTTTTTTAAGACCCAAATATCACTATGTAGCCATGGCTGACCCAGAACTCACTGTGTACACCAGGCTGGCTTTGAACTCACTGAGATCTACTTGCCTTTGCATCCCGAGTGCTGGGATTAAAGGCCTGTGCCTCCATGCCCAGCTAATAGCACTTTTCTTAAATCAGCCATGATCTTTGTATGCATTAATTTACGTATTTTACCTGTACATCGTGTTAAATGTATATCAGTTTCGTTTGTTCTAAAACTCAGTTTGTTTTTTTAAATAGAACCATATCTTAATTAGAATAACTTTTCTCAAAGAGAAATATATACAAGAAAGGGAAAGTGTGAATCTTTCTCAGCTTTTGTAAATTAGAAATTCCCTGTTGTCTTGTTTCCTGTTTTAGGACTGTACGAAAAGAATATATCACTGCAAAGTATGTCGACCATCGGTTCTCAAGGAAAACCTGCTCCTCTCCCTCAGCAAAGCTGAATGAATTGCTTGAGGCCATCAAATCCAGGGATTTACTTGCACTAATTCAAGTCTATGCAGAGGGAGTGGAGCTAATGGAGCCACTGCTGGAACCTGGGCAGGTGAGGCCTCACTAAACCGAGAAGATAAACAGTCAAAAATGAATGTGGCATAGTGGCATCCATCTGTAAACCCAGCACTTGGAATGAAGAGACTAAAAGAGTGAAATAAGTTTGAAGCCAGTCCTGGGTGACATAATTCACACACACACACACACACAGAAAAATGTTTTCAAAGGAAAGAATGCGTTTGCATGAGCAGTCACGTTCTTCTGACACAATATGATGACATTCTCATTCAGTAAATGAACATGTCTAAATCAAGAGCATTTGAAAGTGAAAGAGAATGCACTTAGTAATTGCTTGGGGTTCCTTATGTCGGTGAAGCTGATGGAAGCAAACAACACGTGATCATCGAATTTCTGTCTCTTCCCTCCCTCCTCAGGAGCACGGAGAGACAGCCCTTCACCTTGCTGTCAGGACTGCAGACCAGACATCGCTCCATTTGGTTGATTTCCTTATACAAAACTGGTATGGTTTTGCTTTTTCCTTTGAATGAACTGGGTATGACCAGCGTCTGTACCAGAACTTATCAAACTTATCAAAGTTTATTTGTGGAAAGCCCAATAAATAACCTAAGGCTTTGCAGGCCATGGAGTTCAGTTGCAGCTATTGACTTCTGCCATTATGGTGTTAAATTACCCATAGACTAGACTATGCAAATAAGTAAGTATAGCTATGTGCTTAATAAAACTTTATCCAAGCAGCATTTGGGCCACACATGGCATACAGCTTATATGTGGCCAACCCACGGTCTCAATAAATAGAAAATACCTAACATCTGGGGTCAGTCAGATTTGTGAGTTTTCATTGTTCATAAGTTTGATATAACAGTAGCTAGTTAAATGAAAAACACTAATAGTGCAGTGCTGAACACAGGTCTTTCCTTGCTGGAGCCTTACTGGACTTTTGAGTCAGCAGCAGACTCTGAACACAGCAGAGCTTATCCAGAGAAATCAAATAGAGAGGGAAGTCAAACCCACATAGGAAGAATGGTGTATGGATCCAACGAAACTGGTCATGGTCTAGACCTCTTCCTAAGAGGTGACATAGTTCAGTGGCTAAGTGCTTTGTCTCCAGAGACCTGCTTGTGTTAAGATTCCCCACTCTGTTGTCCTCACCTTGGTAACTGAGAAGAAACTCTTCAGGCTCTTCATGACTTAGACTTTATCTATAAGGTAGAAGCTATTAACAGCACCTTGTCAGGTGGGAATGAAGATTAAATGAGGCATATATATCAAAGCCAAGAGGCAGTGTCTGACCCATAGTGACAGTCAGTTGACCATAGTTCTCAGTATGTTGCTTATAGATTAGATGTAATATTAGAAACATTATTATTTTTTCAATTTATATGGTCTTAAATTTAAGTCACTTATTAAAGACCATAGAAGTAAGTGGTTATGAAGTTTTGGGACTTAGAGTGGCTCATACCTGTAAGTCCCAGCTACTTGGGAAGCTGAGGCAGGGGAACCACAGGTTCAAAGCCAGACTAGAGTACATAGGGCCAAGTTTGCCTCTGGCTCAAGAAAAAAATAAATTAAGTGGTTAGTGCTGGAAAGAAGATGGCTCAGTGGGCAAGAGTACTATACTGTTCTTCCAGAGGACCTGAGTTTGATTCCCAGCAACTGCATCGAGTTACTCATAACTGCCTGTAACTCCATCTCCTGGGGGAGCAGATACCCTGTACTCACATGCACATACCCACACACAGACCACATACACATAACTAAAAATAAAAATTAATAAAAAGAAAGAAGTAGTTAGAGCCAGTGACATGCCACAGCTGCTAAAGGTACCTGCCACCAAGTGTGATGACCTGAGTTCAATCCCAGAGACCCACATGGTGGAAAGAGAGAACCAACTCCCACAGAGTCCTCTGACTCCTTCCCCCTACACACACACACCCAACCAATTAAATAAAAGTTTTAAGTGGTTATCGGGCTGGGGATATAGCTCAGTTTACAGAGTGCTTACCTAGTATGTACAAGGTCCTGGGCTTAGTCCTAAATGCTGCAGAGATCAGAAGCCAGGTGTGGAGATGCACATCTATAATCTTAGCACTTGGGAGGTGCCTTAAGGCCATCCTGAGCTACATAGGAGTTTAAGCCTAGCCTAGATTACATGAGGTACTATCTCAGGAAAAGAAAAAAAAAATGTGATTATAATATTTATTATCTGCAGTTTCACTTTCAGAGGGGTTAGTCGCCTATAGTCAAACATGGCCTAAAAGCACCGTGGGAAAGTGGGAAATCCCAGAAGTTAACAATTCAGACATCTTAAACTACTTTTATTACAGTATCTTATTGCTCCATTTTGTTATTGATGCCAACCTCTAACTGAGCCTGCTGTGTAGTCCACAGGTGTGTATGTAGTCTTTTAGGAATAGGAAAAAGCATAGACTGTTGAGGGCTTTAGAATTCTTTGTGCTTTGAGACACCTGCAGAAGTTGGAATTCCTCCCTCATGGATAGCAGAGGACCTACTGCCACAGTTTTCAGCTGTGGAGTAGGTCAGCTTTCCTCATGCACTCTTGTTTTCTAGCGGGAACCTGGATAAGCAGACGTCCGTGGGGAATACGGCTCTGCACTACTGCAGCATGTACGGCAAGCCAGAGTGTCTGAAGCTGCTGCTCAGGAGCAAACCCACAGTGGACATCGGTGAGTGGGGCCGAGCAGCATTGCATGAAACTGCTACTTCATGCTGCACTGATTGGATCGTTGTTCCCTGCCCTCTCCAAGCAGTATCCTCTATACTTACACAAGTTAATTTTTTCACTATTTCAGTTAACCAAAATGGAGAAACTGCCTTGGACATAGCAAAGAGACTAAAAGCTACCCAGTGTGAAGACCTGGTATGTGAACATGAAACAAGATATTTGCTGGACGTCAGTCAGCAGCCTTTAAACTGTCATTCTGAGAGACTGGAATTATGAATAAACCAAGCACAATTGTTTTTAAAACATTGGCTAAAGAAACCCAGATGTTTACAGAGGCTCTCTTTGAAAACGTGGTGACACCATGTTGTTTGTCTTCTGAGTGTGGCTGTGAAAGGCTTCAGAAGGATTGTTACTGTGCGGACTGCAGATTGGGCCGGTTTGGCGGGACACTAGGCTGTTTCGCAGCTAACAGTGAAGAATTTTTCAGAATGTTACACGTCATTCTTGTACTGCTTCCCACCCTTCTGTGCACACTCACCTTCTTTTATTTAGTTCATTGTTGTTTTGGTTTTTTTAGGCAGGGTCTCCCTGTAGCCCCAGTTGGCCTGGAACTAGCTATGTAGACCAGGCTGCGCTCAGTCTCACAGAGATCTGTCTCTCAAGTGTTGGGATTAAAGGTGTTCACCACCATGCCTGGCCCCATTAGTTACTGCTTAATACTCTGGACCTTCACATAAGAATGCTTCTCCTGTCCATGGTGTCATCCTCTGTTCTCCATAGCTAATAGCAGCAACTGGGCAAATGAAAGAAAGCAGGTTGCTTTTGACTCACAGTTCAGGGTGTAGGGGCTCCATCTGTGGAGACCTTCTTCCTGTCACCACACATGCTATCAGAGAGACAAGGGACACGTGAGAGACAAGGTTCAGGGTGTAGGGGCTCTATCTGTGGAGACCTTCTTCCTGTCACCACACATGCTATCAGAGAGACAAGGGACATGTGTCTTATCTTGATCTTTGTCCCTCTTCTAAAACCACCAGCATTCAGCCCTGGGAGCTCCTCCCAGGTGACCTCATTTTGTCACCTACCAAAGGTACCTGGAAAGCACCATGCTCAGCTAAGTTCCCACCCTCGTAAGACCTCACAGTGGGAATGAGATTTTAACTTGATGGACTGGGCACGCTGGGTACCTGCTTATGATTCAGCACTTAGGATGCTGAGGCAGGAGGATTGTAAGCTTGAGACCAAGCTGAACTGCACAGCAAGGCACTGCCTTAAATTTTTTTCTCACTTTGCGCCTCAGAGGAGACAAGCCATAGCATGTGGAAAAGAGAGAGGTAGGAAAGCAAGTTCATGCCCTTGAGGTTTTCTGCTGAGAACTGGGCTCCAGGCCTGGCACTTGTACTTTTTGTTACTTTTGTTATTTTGATTTGTTTATTTCTGTTTTGTTTTCTGAAACAATGCCTATAGGAGATGGAGACTTAAGAATGGGAATGAGGAGACTGGCTTCAAACTAAACTTTCCCACCTTAGTCTCTCTAGTGCTAGGAGCCCAGGTCTGCATCACCATCATTGGCTATATTTTGTATTCTTCTGTTTTGTTTGGGGTTTTTTGTTGATTTTTTTTTGTTTTGGGGGGATTTTGTTTGTTTTTTGTTGTTTGTTTTGTTTTGTTTTGAGTCAGGGTCTCCCTATAGCCCCAGCTAGCCTAGAACTTGGTATGTAGACCACATTGGGCTCCAGATCTACCCAACCCCAGTGCTGGGATTAAAGGTGTGCCCCACCAGGCCCAGCTCTTTTGTGTTCTTATTGAAGCTATCGTCTCTGTCCACACTTCACAAACAAGAAAAGAGAACCACAGATTGACTTTAAAGGCCTGCCTCTTAAACTTCATAGCCTCTGTTTTCCAACCTGAAGGTGCAGTTCCGAGGCTCCTTTTACTAATATTAAGGAAACTTCATTTTGTAGATAATCTTGAAGTCAGAATCAGAAAGGCTCACCTTTAAGTCTCACAGTCCCTGAGTAGCTGTCAGCTTGTCTAGTCAGCTGGGCCACTGGGCCACTCTCACTGTTTTAGAACCACAGTGAGGGACTTGTTCAGCATCTGTGATGATGGAGTAGTGGGGCATTTCTGTTAAGGGTACTCTTGCTGTTCCTTCCAGCTCTCCCAGGCTAAATCTGGAAAGTTCAACCCACACGTCCACGTAGAGTATGAGTGGAACCTTCGGCAGGAGGAGATGGATGAGAGCGATGACGATCTGGATGACAAAGTGAGTACGGAGGGTACCATCCAGTCCTGCACCCTTCCAGGTTTCTGCCCTGTGTGGACAAGAGCCGCTTTCTCTGAGATAAGTTGTTTTGAGCTTGATGGTCTGATATATACAGCCATGATCGCTGCTTATCCTCTGATCCTTGTTGGGCACCGTTGAACAACTGGAGTTGATGTGGCAGAGTTGAGGCTGAAGGAGGTGTCGAGGCCAGATTCCTTGCTTTTTAAAGACCCTTGATCTTTGTTCCTTAAAGCCCTTCAACTGACTGGATGAGGCACACTCTCATTTTGGAGGGCTGTCCAGACCCTGCTGATTGAAGTGGTCATTGCAGCTCTTAAAATATACCTTTACAAAGCAACATCTACACTGGTGTTTGAGTGGGACACCATAGCCTAGTCAAGCTGTCGTGTAAAATTAGCCATTAGTTGTTTCAAACAGTGAATTAATAAATATAATAACTGTCACTTACAAAGTACCTAAATAGAGTCTAGGCTTTGTGAATATTGTTACCTCAGAACATCTTGACTGAAACCCCACATGCCCCAGAGAAAACATACACAGAGAGGACATAGCATTTGTCTAAAGACCATCTCCAGGATTAAACCCAGGTCTCTGTGACTCTCATAAGTGATGCTTAACTACCTCTGAAAATTCTTTTACCTGTTTATCAGGTATGTGCCAGGAATTTCCTTAGCGCCAGACCGGGGTATCTATGAGCAGTGCTCAGACAAAGGGGTCCTAAATCCAATCTCGCTTTCGAGAAGAGAAAAACAGTAATTCAGTGTGATGACTACCATAGTGAATTTGGGAGAGTTCCAGAGAAGTAGTTAGAAGGCTGAGAAGTTCGTCAGCCATGGTAAGCCTTGAGGATTTCATCAAGGAAGGAGCAGCAGCGAGGGAGAGGTCTCTGGAAGGAAGTGGGCACTGGCCAGACAGAAGAGTTGATCAGCTCAGGAGAGGAGACTAGCCTGGCCCACAGCTGGGGCCAGAGTAGAACCCAGATGTCTGAAGAACAGTCGGGGTAGCGCTGTGAGTGGGGAGTTCTTCATGGGGCAGGGAGGAGCCACCCTATAGAGTCAGGCAGACTGGTCAGGAGCAGCTTTGCAGCCTGGCCTTTTACCTTTACCCACACAGTTAGAAACCACCAGCAGGGGCTTATTATCAGAAAACAGCTTTCCTACCAGCTTTAGCTACAGTGTAAAGCTGGATGGACTAAGAAGAGTTCAGGCCAGTCTACAGTGAGCACCTCACTAGTAGTAGGCTGGAGGGCCCTTCTGAGGCAGCCTTCCAGGGCATGGGGGCTCCAGGTGACATGTAGTTGCTACCAAGGCAGTTCAGTGATGTTAAGTGCCCCCACCATGCGTGAGGCACCAGAAACACCACATTGGTGACTGGTTTGCAGTCTAAGAATTGGGGTAGGATTTAGAACTCCAAGTTATCGACATGCATGTCACACCTCAAAGGAAGGTGTTTATTAATGGGGCTAAATCTAACTGTGACCTTAGCCCACACTGTGAATGGTCTACTGATCCCTGACCAGCACTCCTTGGTGGGATAGTGATGAGGATGTAGGAAGTATAAAGTCCCCCTGCTGAAGCTGTGGCGGTAGTAGACCACACACTGCACAGAGAGCCCCAGGAACCAGGTGAGCTCCTGGCCCACTCTGCAGAGCTCTTCATACACCTCGGGGACAGTCCTTAGGTGTCTGTTGTCTCATCTGTTGTTTGATCCATCAGCCAAGCCCCATCAAGAAAGAACGCTCACCCAGACCCCAGAGCTTCTGCCACTCCTCCAGCATCTCACCCCAGGACAAGCTGGCATTGCCAGGGTTCAGCACTCCGCGGGACAAGCAGCGACTCTCCTATGGAGCCTTCACCAACCAGATCTTCGTCTCCACAAGCACGGACTCACCCACGTCACCCACCACAGAGGCGCCCCCTTTGCCACCTAGGAATGCCGGGAAAGGTAGGGGCTTGAGAAGTCCTTTATGGATTTGTGCTCAGTACTGCTAGTCTGCCCTTTGGTGGCATTGTGGACCACACTGTCAGGCAGCTCAGAATAGAGTCCTTGCCATTTGCCAGATACCAACAGTGGGACAGGTAATGTGGTCATTCTTTGTGCATTATTTTGAATCAAATCTCCTGGGGATTAAATGGTGTTTGTGCTCGTTTCACAGAAGAGGAAACTAAGACTGAAAAAGATAGAAGTGACATTCCCAGTGTCATACAGCTGGTAAATGGTTGAGATTCAGTGTGGGAGCCACATGACTGTAGACTCTCTTCCCTTTATGACTTTTAGTCTCAGTTCTTTGAAAGGCTTTCTCTGTACTGAGATGCCTCTGTGTTAAACATGCTGATTGTCAGACCTAGGAGGAGCTCAGTTGATAGAATGCTAGTCTTTTGTACATGAGGCCTGGTTTCAGTCCCCAGCACTGCATAAAATTGGGTGGGGTGATATATGACTCTAATCCCAGGACTCAGGAGGTAAAGGGAGGAGGATCAAGAGTTCAAGGTCACCAGATGTAATGGCACACACCTTTGATCCCAACACTCAGGAGGTAGAGGCAGGCAGATTGCTGTAAGATCGAGGCAACCTTGTTTTACATAGTTACAGGCCAACTAAGAGAGATCAAGGTCATTATTGACTATATAGCAAGTTTGAGGACAACTTGGGCTATAGTAGACCTGTCTCAAAAGAAAAATGGTTGTCCTGGTAGCGGTTAATCATTAGAAAACACTTGCCTCATGAGAGACCCCACACTAAGCTTTCCTCCTCCCAGGGTCTCTGCATGAGGTCGGAACTACAGTTACAGGTATCTTGCAAATGAGGGATTGGACTTAAGAGATGTGGAATAATCCCCGGGTTTTTGTCTACCTGGGATTCTAAGCCAGGTTCTCTATGACCAAAACTCACGGTACTGTACCCTCTTGACCAGGTTGTTTTCCCTGAGACTACCTGGAGAGGACTCCTGCCTGGAGTTTTCAGGTATTGTCAGGTACCTCCACAGGCCTAGTACCTCGGGCCTTTGGTCCCGCATCCTGCTCTGTAGCTGCAAAACAACCCATCCTGTGTCCTGTCTCCAGAATATCTCTGAAATATCTCTGAAAATCATTGTGTTCCCACCTGTGGAGAGGCAAGTTCAAGGCATAGAAATGCCAGCATCAGATTATTCCAGACTGAGGGACAGGTGCTCAAAGCTGTAGCTTCCTGTAATTCCAAATGCAGGATTCTCCCAATGTCAGCTAAGCTCATGTCAGCACAGTTTTCCAGCACATCTTGGTATACAATGACAGGCCTCTTTGAATCACACTGGCACTATTTTCTGGCAAATGTGAGCTTTATTCAAAATTTTTTTCCTAGCTTTATTCTCCATTGAAATCATGTTATAAATGGGAGCTGTGTTCTTAGAGAGACCCCAAATGGCCTTGTAGGTCATAAAATTATAGGGAAAGTTATAGTAAGGCTTTGGCAGGAGCAGTTCCCATCAAAGGTAAGGAGTGGCCTTTCAGCAATGGCATATGGAAGCCATGGGCTTAACCAACTTCTAGGATTTCCTATCATTCTGCACAGTCTACTAGAACACACGTTTTGAAGCTCCTGGATATCAAGCTGCAGTCCTGTCATCAATGTGTGAGACCTGTGCTGCCTTCCCCTCTGCGAAACCGTGGTCCCCACAGGCATCCACCTCATGAGAACAGAAGTGCCTGCTCTATACTCTCCAGAGGAAGACACAAGCCTCCAGACCTAAGAAAATGATGGAAAGGGGGCTCTCAAAGACATCATGTACCTTGATTGTGGTCACCAGCATAGTGTGGTGACATGTTCAGAAAGCCTCCTTGACACCAGAATCTAGAGGACAACACACCCCACCCTCCATCCTACTACCCCCTCCTGTAGTGTTATCTCAAAGGGACATAAAAACCCATAAAATGGGGCTGGAGAGATGGCTCAGCGGTTAAGAACGCTGGTTGTTCTTGAAGAAGACCCAGGTTTGAATCCCAGCACCCACATGGCAGCTAACAACTGTCCATAACTCCAATCCCAGGGGATCTGGTGGCCTCTTCTCTCGTCTGCAGGCATTGCACGACATGGGTGCATTTACCTACATGAAGGCAATACACTCATACACATAAAATTTAAAAAATAGTAGTAAATTAAAAAAAAAAAAAAAACATAAAGTACACCATCTGTCTCAGTGCCAGGCAACATACTTCTTCATTATTCTAACTAGCTCTGACCAAAGACCCAAAAGACAGCATTTATTTTGTGATTCAGCTCCTGAGGAAGAAGCTTAGCATCTTGGCCATAGCAACCATGCTTAACTAAGGACAACCTTCTCTCCCTTTACAAATAAAACCCATCCTTGAGACTAGAACTCTGTGCCGACCAACAGTGTTCCATGGCGGCCCACAGTGGGACTTCACATTCAGAGATTTGGACTGTCTGCTGCTGGCACAGGCAGACAGTCTCTAGTGCTGGTTATAAGGTACTGAACCATGGCGGTCCTTGGCCAGCTGGCCTCACTTGCCCTTACATGTGGAAAGCTGGTAGTGTTTACCATGGAGTTCTTAGAAGCCACTGTTAGAGGTCAGCTGGCACCCTGTTCAGAGATACTTGTGTTCTGTGGCCCCTACATTTTTTTTAATTCATCCTGCTAACCTGACAGAAGCATCTGCTGTCTTGAATCAGTCATCCTTTGGATTAGAGTTGCTTACTCTCCTCAGCAAGGAAAGCCCTGGTCCTGATTGCAGCATAAGTCATCTCCATAGCAGTAATTTAGGGGCCTCAGGATGATGGCTTCCTGTGACAAAGTCCCCACAAATAAGAGCAGAACAGAGACAGCAGCAGAAAGAGTCCTCTGAGCACAGCCAGGAATATTTCCAAAACCCTCCAGCTGCCTCATCAAAATTCAGGGAAGTTTGACCTCAGTTACCGTCAAGCAAAGCCGCCTTGTGTGTGAGCAGCCGCCCAGTCAGACTCAGAAGAACTCAGCACTTCAGAGTTCCACATTCACCGTCCTTAAGGCTCAGGCAGACTCTTTACTGCCTGACTCCTCTTCACAGGGGAAGTCCAGAGAGTCCGGGAAAGCTGCAAAGCTCAGTGTACAGGTGTTTCTCCTGGTCAGCAGTTCCCCTGCCACACACTTCATTTAAACACCACAAGTACTTTAGGTTTACCAAGATTTGTTTTTAATCTTTAGATTGAAATGCTGTTTGGTTTCTTTAGAGCTAAGAGGATACTGAAAGAGTTACATTATCTGTATCCCATGGTAGAGATAAAGAAACTGAGCCCTAGAAAGGCTAAGGAATTTCCTTCAGGTCACACAGTGCTGAAGTAGGAGAGATTGGAATGGGCCTTGTGGCTTGTCACATCCAGTCTTCTAGCTCATGCTCCTCCTTGTTGAGCAAGATGATCATCTATGTCTTTTGGCCTCTTCGTGGGGTTATCATTGGAGTCCATCAACAATATTTGGAGAAAGCACTTTGGAAAACGCAAAACCCTGCCCTGCTCCAAGACACTTGTGTTAGGATTGTTAGGCTGTAGACTGAAGCTGTTTCTTGAGTAGAAGAACATGAGGACCAGCACTGCAACAGTCCCCGTGCTGCAGAGCAATAAAGATTCATACTGCTTGCCTATGTCTGGCTGAGCTGTTCACCTGTTTTAAAGTAAGTTTAAGCTTTAGAACTATGGCTGTCTGCTCTTTGCATCTGTGTGCCTTTTGTGTACCAGTGACAAAAATTTGCACCCAATGTGGAGGTGTTACCTCACAGGAGACTGTGGTAGAATGCACAGCTCCTGGCTCCATCAGGGTCCTGCTGGCTATGGGGCCTCTTGGAAGAAGTCTTCAGAGTGAAGTCGTCTGCTGAATTAGCACATACATAGTGAGACCTGACGCTGTGCGCACTCTTTAACTGAAAGAAACTTTTTGTTAAGTGAACAATGAATCTGCTTTCAAGGAGTATAACGTAAAGAACTAAGTTTTTAAGCTTTTAGAAACAGAACTAGTGTGCTAATCCCAGTTCTTTCTCATTGACTGATGAAATACAGCCCTTAGAATCAGGCATTATCAGCTGCTGAATAACGTGTGAGTACTAACCTTGCGTTTCATACAGATGTGCTATAATGCAGACTCCTCCCTCAGACAGGCTCAGCCTCTGTCTGATGAAGCAGCAGATTACACAGAAGCAGCGCCATGCCTGGCACCTGATGCTGCCCTTGCCCTCAGTTTAGATGACAAGACTACACGTCTTCAGTAATCAAAGTTTGAGAATAAGAACCTATCCCAGGCAGCACCATCTGTGTCAGGCCTGACCATGGCTCCTTGGGCAGCCATGAATCCCCAAAACTCTTCCAAGCCTCCTATTCTCTCTCAAGAAGCTGCCTTTCCACTGCCCCACAGACCCTGGATTCCTTCTCCACAAGGGCCAGTCCTGCTCTGTGTCTCTTAGTCAATCCTGCTGAGTTTCAGGGTCTCCATCTGATAAATAAGGGTGAGGTATCTACCTTGCTGAGTCACTGCCTCCAGCACACACAGTAACGTGACAAGCACAGAGTGAGTGTTCAGCAGACATAAGTCTGCTCAGTTCCATTACATGGATTCATTCAACAAATATTTCAGGACCGGGAATACAGAGAAGAATGAAGGCCTTAATTAATCCCCTCACAGTTGGTGAAAGGAGAGAAAGCATACAGGATACACCATGGAGGGGGAGTGCTGCTCTGAAGGTTGAGGTCTTCCTTCCACCCTGCCCTAGTTAGAACTTCCCTGAAACGGGCTATGAATGAGCTGTCAGCACTCACAGGAGGGTGTCAGTGTCAAGGGTTGTTAATATAAGTGACAGAGGCATCAGTGAAAGTATGTCCCAAAAATACATGGCCAAGGTAAGAAGTAAGTTCACTTGCTGAAAGTCTTTGTAAAATGCTTATAGCAGTTGTACCAAATGCAACTGTGTAAACATCTTATCCACTGTCACCTGCTTCTCTGAGAGGTCTTCAGTAGTCAAGGACAGACAGGTGGAAAGAGAGAGGACTTCTCAGCTTACTGCGGTCGCCTGTCACCAGGAAGGACCTCTGATTCATACAAGCCTGAGAAGTGTCTTCCTATGGGCAACATCGCTCATGTGTTCATGATGTTACTATTTCCTCAGGCTTTTGTCTCATGGGAAGACAGCAATGTGAGTGGCTTGGTTTAACAGCTAGTGGGCTGCTGTTCTTGAATCACATTGGATTTGCTGCTTGGGCTTCTTTATTTCTTGTTTTGACTGTTATAAGTCTCCCACATCCATTTTTGAACATCTCAAACAAAGCAACTTGGGCTGGCCAAGAGCATGATCGTCAGCAGGGGCCCCTGGCTCTGGCTCCCAGTCAAATCACCTGACCTCCAAGGAGTAGAAAAGGAAGCTGAAGAAATTCTGATGTTACCTCCTGTATTTGGAGGTACATGGGTAATTGTTAAAGAACCAGCCCTTGGTCTACTCCTTTCCCTTGATTATCAGTGTGACAGAAAGAGATTTAAGGGAAAATGAGTAGCTAATGCTGTTCTCTGTATAAAACCAGCAGAGAGACCAACATGTCACCCTGACACTCTGGAACCCTGGCTAGCCCCGGGTCTGTCTAATGTCTGAATGTAGAGGGGACAGCTTCTTTCCAGTCCTCTATGTAATGAGACAACATTGTGTTTTTATCTACTTGTTACGGTGATTAGCATAAACTTCCCACTCTTTAAGCACCATATCATAAAAAAGCATTTCATCAACCATATAAGACATAAGTTTAAGAGATCTGTTGTAGGACATGATGGTTATAGTAGATAATAATGGATTGTATTCTTTAAAATTGCCAAGAGAGTAGATTCTAAGCATTCTCACCACAAGTAAATGATGTGTGAGGTAGTGCATGTTAAGTAACTGACCATTCCAATGTATACATGTTCCAAAAAAACATACTGCGTTTGACAATATATATGTACCAGCATTTGCCTATTAAAATTTTATCCATATTATCTAGGGTTGTGTAGATAGAACACCTCTCATTAACTCTGCTATAATGGCATATCAGAATATATACATTATAGTTCTGCAAACAAATTTTCAAAAACTGTGAAGATAATTTTTGAAGCCATCTTCTGTGAAGCATCAAAGATGCACCTTTCTTTGGTCTCTGAGACTGAAAGCCGCTATGCCAGGCACCAGCACTGGGACACAGGGAAGCAGTCCTGTGTTCCCCATGGCAGAACGTCAATGGGGCAGGAAGAAAAGCCGTCCCTCATGCGCTGTGGAGCATAGCCAGTTCTTTGGAGCCTTGTTGAGGTCCAGACCTAGCAGTACTCCAGGGAGGGAGGATGGATTAAAGAAAAATTCCAAGCTGGCCGTTAAAAGATGAGGGCAGGAGGTGAAGGAAGATCTCCGTCATGTGTCTGAGTATCCTAGCCAGAGAAGGCTCATGCTGCTCAGAAGCAAGCTCTTGTCAGGTTGGGAGCTCTCCTTAAGTGGTATCAGCCTAGATGCAGCCTCTTCACCTTCTCTGGCCAAGTAAACTCTTCGTTGTGAATTCTGCTTGGCTGGTAGTCACTGGGTGACTCTTGCATGTGCTCATTCTGGAGTCACATGCATATAACACACCTGTGCTAAGAGGTGCATCTCCATTAGCGTTTTGTTTGGGTGTTTTTTTCTGGACAGTACTTGGAACCTGATCTTGTGACCTTTCAGGTGCACTTTATCACAACGTCCCTAGGTGGCGATAAAGATGACATTGCAAGAGAAACACCATTGTCTGATCTGTTTTGCATTTATTTCCAAAGAGGAAAGTTCCACTTCCTCAGTCTGAACACTGTTGCTATTTTCCTCATGGGCCAAATACAGAAAGTGCTGCCCCAGCTCTCCAGAACCGGCAGCACTGACTGCCTGGCGTGTGCCTCCCTGACTGCCGGGCGCCTGCCTCCCTGGCACCTGCATTGCTCAGACTTTCCCGTGTCTGGGGGATCTCCGTCATGCCAAGCCCAGCCCCATTTTCTTGGATGTATAATAGGACACTGCTGATCCCACATAGCTCTCAGGATTGTAGTGAGAATCAAAAGGAGTAACAGACGCATTTGAAAACTACAAACATTGCACAAGCGCAAGGCTGTATGCTCAGCTCCCTCGCTGTAGAAAGGTCTCAACTTGAATAACTGATGCTCTGACATCAATAAGACAGAGACTAAAGAATGTAATGCTGGGCATTTAACCCTAATGCAGATTGCTGTCTTATTGCCAGTGCTCACTGCTGAGGCTGTGTTTGAGAATCAGTGGCTTAATCCATGTTAGTAGTAACCAGTAACTGACAATGAGAACTATCTTAAAGTTTGCCCAGGGAGAAGGCTAGCAGTAATTAAGTTTTTCTTTTAATACACAGAATATAAAAAAGCTCTTTTGGAGCCTTTCTGGATCACCAGGTATCTCCTATCCTCTCTTAAACGTTTGGTGTGGTGGTATGCTTAGCTTTTCCCCCTCTCGTTTCTTTTCTTTTCTTCCTTAACGTTTGCAGAAGCAGTTGTCCGTGGACATGCTTAGAACAGACACCTGGTAGTATTCCGTAAGGAAATACTCATCCATGTGCCTGCCATAACGCCTGCAGGCATGTCCCACTTCAGTGTCACTGTAAGAAAGAGCACACAAGGCTAGAGAGATGCTCAGTGGTTAGGAGCACTGGCTGCTCTTGCAAAGTACCTGCATTTCATTCCTAGCAACCATCCGTAACTCCACTTCCAGGGGACCTGATGCCCTCTTCTGACCTCCTCGGGCATTGCACAGCAGGAGTGTGCTTGCATACATACAGGCAATATACTCATACACAAAAATTTTAAAAAGAGAAAAAGAGCACATGTAGCAGTCCCACAACTGCTTTAAAATGAGCTTCATTGGCTGATGTTCGGATTTCCAGTGTAACATGGCTTAAGAGCACTGAAACAGCTCAGAGTTAGAACAAAAAGTGGTATTAGAGTTCCTTTTTCTAGGTAATCTCGGATCTTTCATTATTTAGAAAAATTTATTTTGTTTTTAAGGAAAACTGATTTGCCGACTAAGAGAAGATCTGTAATAAAACATCATGCTATCTGAATCCTTCAGTGTGTGCGCCTATGGGCCAGTGACTGTTGAACTGACAATTCTTTGCTCCTCCTGACATGATTTTGGTGGCAGTGCTGTGTGCTTTCTTCCCCAGTAGATTTGTGATGATTCCAGTGCCTTACTGGCTTAAAATGTGTATGATTTTTATTTTTACCACTGTATCTAAGTGACGATCTAAACCCTGTAGCATTCTGTGCTGACTAGCCTTTTGTTGCTATTTGGTTTTGAGAGGAGGTCTCAGTGTTACACTGACTGTTCTCGAACTCATGCTCCTCCTGCCTTGGCCTCCCAGGTAGCTGGGATCACAGACCTGTGGCACTCTGGCTTGGGTAGCCTTTTGTTCCTTAAAAACACATTCTTTTCCTTTTTTGTAATTTCGTTTAAGCAGCAGTTTTTAAAGCTCCTGTTTGTGAATTGTTGGACGGACGGACTTGGTGTGTTCAGCCTTTCGCTTTTGACTCAGTGTTACACCACATTTTGGTGAGTGGAAGTAATTGCGTACTGGCTGTTATATGTCTACGAGACTGGGATTAACCTTCCTGCCCCGGTTCAATTTCCTTTCTAGGTCCAACTGGCCCACCTTCAACACTCCCTCTAAGCACCCAGACCTCTAGTGGCAGCTCCACCCTATCCAAGAAGAGGCCTCCTCCCCCACCACCCGGACACAAGAGAACCCTGTCTGACCCTCCCAGCCCACTACCTCATGGGCCCCCAAACAAAGGCGCAATTCCTTGGGGTAAGTTATCCTAAAGTCAGGGTCAAAGCTGCCCAGAGCCAGATAGTGGAGGGAAGGGGCTCTACTGGGCATTGGATAGTTAGTACATTAGGAAAACCAACCAAACTGCACACACTGGGTTAGGACTTGAACATGTGTGAATATGCTTATACCTGCTTCTTACAGCCAGGGAACAGTTGGAAAAAAAGTTGGGGGCATTAAAAATTATAGTAGCAAGAACAGTGTCTTTCGATATCATCAGGGAGTTGGCTCTAGGACACACACATGCACACACACACACAGATTTCCAAAATCTATAGATAATCCCAGTCCCTTATATACAATGCCATAGTATTTGCATACCTTGAACACATACTTTTAAATTATCTCTAGGTAGCATAATATCTAATGTAATGTAAATGTCCTATAAAAGAGATGGCGTGTATTCAGAACAGTTGTTTTCCCAAATGTCTTTGACCCACAGATATGGAGGGCAGACTCTAATATTAACAGGTGCTAGGCATATCTTGAATCTCAGTCATAATAATGACTCTGTGAGGTAAGAATTATGAATCTCACAGAACTCAGAAAAGCAAAATAGGCTATGGGTATGGCTCAGTGCTAGAACACTTGCCTAGTAAAGACAAGGCCCTGGGTTCAATCCCCAGTACCACAAAAAGAAAAGGAAAATAGTCCACTTTCACAACACCCAGAATAGGTTTCTTCATAAGGCAGACATCAGGTCCTTGGCATTCTCCTCCTCATACCTTTTATGGCTTCCTGTTGAGCTTCAGATAAATTCAGACTCTTTATCTCAAGCCCTCTCCCCCACCTCCTAGCCACCACTCTGTGTGCTTTCTCCCTCCCAAGGTCCTCATCCTCCGTAGAAGAGCAGGTCCATTCACCCCCTCAGCTCACACATCTCCTTCCCTGGCTCCTCACTTGATTTCTTCCCAGCACTTCACTAGAGTTGAGAAATCCTTTGCATGTCTTGTCTTCCCCCGCCAGAACGTGTGTTCCATGAAAGAAATGCCTTTGCCTGTCTTGTTCTCACCTGTGTGGAATCCTGCCTGGCACACACTGGACACTCAGGATCTGAGAATGAGCAGCCTTACCCAGAGTCAGCCAGTTTAATCAGCTCAGTGACACTGACTGCAAACACAGATCTTGTCTACAAAAAACATACTTTGCAGTTTTGCTGCTAGCTTGGCAGTGGTGCAGTGGTCACCCAGAAGGGTCCTGGCCCACCAGAGAAGCTCTGCCCGGTGAGCATGCTGGTCTGTGTATCTGACCCCACTAAGCTTCATTGTGACTTTTTTTCTCTTGTTGTTTTTTAAATCGTGTTTAACACAGTGATAGGTAATTCAGCTTAATGCTCTTAAGTATTCCACAGACTCCTATCTCAGCCTCTGTGAATTTGAGGGAAAGCCATAATACATACTTCAACACTGGTAACACAGTCTTATCCCAAATGCCACAAGATGTGTGCACAAATAGGTCTTTCTGTTGTAACCATTCGTCCTTGGACTCTCAGGCCCACCTTTTGGCACTTCCTGTGTCTGTTGGGTGGGCTTCTCAGTCCATGTGTTCCTGGAGATCGTGGTCCAGTGGGGGGCCCAGGAGGATGAAAAATGAAAGTACATGTTCTTTACTACATGGGTGCACGTGTTGACCAAATCTCGTGGAAATGCTAGAAAATGGAGTGTGAAACTACCTAAGAACAGCAAAATGGGCATCACAGAGGAGACACTTCAGATTGATCTTCATGAGTCAGAAGTAATCAAGGCCAAAAGAACTAAGGCCTGCAGGCACGCGGGCACACTGGTGCTGATGATTCCCTGCATGCCGTGTTCCACGGCCTTTAGGAGTCCTCAATTTGTCAGAAAGGACATTCTCCAAAGTCACAGCTCCTCTGTGGACTTTCATCCCGCTGATGAAGCTTCTTCCCAGACTTCACTGAGCTTCCGTCCTCATTTCACTGACTTGTGTGTCTTACGGTGCCTGTCTCCACCTCATAGAGACCAAGACATTCTTCAACTCAGTTTATCAAAGTTCTGTTTTGCAGCTTGAAAATCATCTAGCACCTCGCTTTTCATTTTCATCTCCAACATTGTGGAGCACAAGCATTTTCACAAGGAAATACAGTTGTTACCCTTTTTTTTTTCTTGGTCTTTTTGAGACAGGGTCTCCCTATAGCCCCAGCTGTCCTGGAACTCACAGAGTTCCAAGTACTTCCCAAGTGCTGGGATTAAAGGCGTGTGCCACACGCCCAGCAAGTTGGTACCCTTTATAGAAGTTCTCTCCTGGGAACATTCGAACCTTTCACATGTGTGGCCCTGCCTATCCACTAGAAGGAGGCTCCTTGCCTAGAGCCAGGCCTCAGGGACAAAAAAATCTGCTCTCAGCAAAAGTGGCTATACTCCATATGGCATGAGTTTGGTGATCATTGACAGTTCTGCTTGTTAATTCAAGGCTCTTATTTGTGGATAATATGTTTGCACATGTGGGAGATAGACAACTATGCCCACACAGGTCAGTAACAGGAGGATATGCATGTGTGTGTGTGTGTGTGCGCACGCACACACAGTTGGACTCCTGATCATCAGGTGAAACGTGCAGTAATGTCTGTGCTAGGCTCTGTGATCACTGCCTGGTGATCCTGTCTCTTGTTGACATTGTGTTCCAAAAGACAAAGGCAAGAGTCACACCACTCAGCAGCTAGATAGAGGCCAGCCTTCTAGACAGCATCTCCCTGGTGCCATAGCTTCCCTTGGGTTAGGGGGTGCATTTTTCCAGGACTCTTACATCCCCCTAAGACCTCGCATCTCTCTGTAACCTGTGGAGATGGAGACCTTTATAGCTCTTTATTTTTAATTTTTTGTGTCTGTTTTATGTATTGCCTGAGTGCATATAAGTGCACTGTGTGTGTGCACTACTGAAGAGAGCAGAAGAGAGCGTGAGAGCCCCTGAAACTGGAGTTATGGACAGTTGTGAGCCCCCATGTGGGTGCTGGGAACTAAACCTGAGTCCCCTGCAAGAGCAGCCAATGCTCTTAACCACTGAACCGTCCCATTTCTCCAGCCTGAGAAGGGGGCCTTTACACAGTCAGAGAACAGACCAGGGTCCCTCGAGTAGGCACAGGCTCAGTCACAAAAAAGCAGCCTCTCACCTTCTACCCGGAGAGCAGGACATGGTACCCCATACAGCAGGAGCCCAACTCACAGTCTTTCCTTCTCAGCCTTCTGGCCACTTTACTCACAGCATGCGCTCAGCCTCAAATACCTTTCCCTTTCTTCATCTGTGTTGATGCTTAGTCATCCTTCAAGCCTTGCTCTCCTGGTGCCTTCGTCAAAGACCCCACTCTGTGTGCCTCTGGCTGGAGGCCTCCTTGCCTGTCTCTCCCAGAGCGCTGTCCTTAGAGCAGTCCCTGGTGTTCACCCTGCTCTCTACCGCCAGGCAACTCTATGGCTTTATTTTAGCAAGATGTTTGTTTTGGTTTTCTTTTTTGAAACAAGGGCTGTCTCACTCTGTAGTCTAGGCTGACCTTGAACCTATGGCAGTCCTGCCTCAGCCTCTGTGTGCTGGTGTTACATTACAGGCATGCACCCCCACATCTGGCTTTTAGCAAGATCCTTTTTTTTTTTTTTTTTCGTTTTTTTGAGACAGGGTCCCCCTGCAGCCCCCCCTGGCCTGGAACTCACTATGTAGACCAGGCTGGCCTTGAACTCAGAGAGATCCACCTGCCTCTGCCTCCCAGGTGCTAGGACTACAGGCGTGTGCCACCACGCCTGGCTAGCAAGATACTTTTTAATTGTTCAACACTTCAGTTTCTCCAGCTGTAAACTGGGGACTAGTGGAATTCTCACGAAGGGTAAGTGAGAGAAGGCCGGAAGCATAGGACTCAGAAAGCACTCTGTAAATGTTATCTCCTCTGACCCTCAACCTGGCATTTTGCTAAATGCTAATTACTGGGCTGCCATGTGTGTCAGGAGGCTGTGCTTGTGTCCTTGGGCTACTGTAATTCATGTCACAAACTCGATGTCCTAAAACAGTCAAAGCCTATGCTTCCAGGTCTCGGGGCTGCAAGTCCCACATCCTGCAGGGCTGTGTGCGCTCCTAGGTATCTGGAGAAAGAATTTGCTGTGGGTTTCTGGGCCCTGTGATGTTCCTTGGCTTTTATGGCTCTGCCACTTCAGTCTCAGCTCCATGGTTACCTTGCCGTCCTGCCTCTCTGAGCTCTTGAAGCTGCCCTTGCCTTTCTCTGTCCTAAGGCTATATTGTATTAGCACCTCTCTGGATTTCTGGTGATGATCTCTCCAATTTAGGACCCTTTACTTAATTACATTGGCACAGAACCTTTCTCCTAGCATGCTCATGTGTGCAGTTCCAAGGATTAGAACTTGGTGTCCATATGGGGTTTCGTTGTTTGTTTGGGGGGAAGGAGGAGTTGTGCATGTCCATGTTCATGTAGAGGCCAAAGGACAACCTCGAGTGTCACTTCACAGGGCCCATCCTCAGGATGGCTCGACTGGCTGGCCTGTGCACCCCGGGAATCTGCTTGTCTCTGCCTCCCCAGCACTGGGATCACAAGTGTGCCACCACACCCAGGTTTTACAAGTGCTTGAGGGATTGAATTTAGGTCCTCATGCTTGCCTAGCACGCACTTCCTAGGCCAAGCCCTCTCCCCAGCTTCGACCTCCTGTCCTTAGGTGACTGTTCTTCAACCTATCCTGGCTTGTCCTCCCCATCCACTCCTCTGTGTCTCATGTCCTCCACCCCTAAAATTCCTCCCCCCTTTGTTCCTTTTAGCCCTCAGGGAAGATGCTATCCAGATACCTAACCTGCAGTCTCCTCAGGCCTGTGCCCTGCCTGCAGTGTGACAGCCTCGTCCTTTTTCTCTCTTGGGCTTATGAATTTTATTTTTCATTCTTAGCATCCAGGGAAGGAACCCATGATCCAAATTAGCTTTTTTTTTCTTTAACTTTAAAAAAAAAATTATTGATAATTTCAGACATGCATAT